CATATCTCTGGTAATATGAAATAAATGACCTAAATTCACTAGTTAAAAGACAGAATTCTCAAGTGTAGTTTAAAAAACATGTCTCCTCAAAGATAAAAGGACACAATCTTTAAAAGCAAAGAAATGGCAGAAGATGGTACAGACAAATCCTAACCAAAAGAAAGCTATACCAGTAATATTAATATCAAATAAAATTAAAGGTATTATGATTATAAAAGTGAAAATAATCCAAGAATATGTTGTTCTGAACATGTCTGCATCTAATAATCTATACTCAAATTTTATACAGCATAAATTTATATGAATAGCATGAAAAATTATCAAATCAACAATCACAGACAAATTTTAATATACCTTTTATTAATCAATAGGGTAAGCAGTTAAACAACAGTGATAGAAAACATGACACATGAAATCAATGCCTGATCAAGAGAACAGATACAGGATAGGCAAGGTGGTTTAGGCCTGTAATCTCAGCTACACTGGAGGAGGAAATAGGAGGACTGCAGTTCGAGGCCAGTCCACACAAAGTTAGGAGACCCTATCTGAAAAACAAACTAAAAGCAAAAGGACTGGGGGTGTGGCTCAAGAAGTAGTGCACTTGCTTAGTAAGCAGGAAACCCTTTGTTCAATCCCCAGTTCTGCCAAAAAAAAGGACAGATCCAGCAAAAACCTGTATCCACAATGAGAGGGCACCATACTTTTCCAACTCAAAAAGAACTATTACAAAAACTGACTACATGTTATGCTTCAAAGTCACTCTTAAATACAATAGAATCTCTATTAATTTGATCACATTCTGACCACAGTGTAATATAAAACTAGAAATCTGACAAAACTCTTGCCACAACACACACATACACATACCCACACACAACAATGCACATACACCTTAAAACTTTTAAGTCACCTATAAGCAATCCAGGTTCAAAAATGAACCACAATGAAATGAGAAAATAGTAAGAACTGAATGGCAATGAAAGAAAGCACTGTATTTCAAGCTTAGGCAATTAATAAAAGGTACTTGAAGAGAAAATTAGAACCATAAAAGCAATTGTTTAAAATATTAAACTCAAGAAATTAGGAAAAGAGAAAAAGGAAACAAAATGTAACAAAATAGAAAAGATACAGAGAAATGATTAACCAAACCAAGATGTTGGTTTGAAAAAAATAAATCTATAGCAAGAATAATTAAGAAAAACAAAAAGGTAAATGGACAAGGTGGGAATACTACGAAAATACACTTGCCAATAACTTGTTGAATTAGATGAACTAGATAGTTTCCACCAAAAATATGAATTACTAAAACTCACTCAAGGAAAAATAAAAGCAGACCACACGTATTAGGAAATTAAAAATAACTACCCTCAACCCTCAGTCATCTCCCTTCATCCCAGACCAAGACAGTTTTAAAGGCAACTTCTATGAAATTTCCAAAGAGCAGATAATCCCTAATTTACCCATCCAAGCTTTTCCAGAAAATGGTAAGAGGGAAACAACTTTATGAGGACAGTGTATAACCCAGATAACAAAATCTAATGAAGACAATTTGATAAAAGAAAATTAAAGATAATATATACAAAAAAATCTTAAATAAAAATAATATAAAACAAATATAGAATTACCACAATGAATTGGAGTTTAGATTAGAAATTCAGATAGCTTAGCTTTAGGAAATATTAATTGTAAGTAATATTAGCAAATTAGAAAAACATATGGTTCTCTAAGTTAATGCAAAAAACACCCATTAAAACTAACCACTTATTCATGCATGATAAATCTTAGAAAGTAAGGAAAGAACATCCCTAATCTGAGATAGAATATCTAGTTTTGAAAATCTCTGAGCAACTCTACAAAACTAAAAACTTATAAAAATATGCTCATTCTCATCTTTTGCATATGGTGTCCCTGTTTTCATAATTTCAAATGATTCACCACCTTCTTCTATAAAATCAGTCTTGATCATATGACTTGCTTGGCCAATGGAATGTAAGTGAAAGTGATATTTACCACTTACAAGCAAGATTCAAGAACCACTCTGCAGTTCTGCCATGTTTTATTTTTCTTCTTTCATGAGACCAGATTGTCCCAAGAAGAAGCTACTCCTTAGGACTTGGTCCCAATGAAAAAATAACATGGAACAGATATATATAAGCAATAAATTGCTATTGTTCTTTTAAATCAAGAAGATTTGGAAACTGTCATTACAGTATAACCTAATGACAATTAACAGTGATCAAAAATGTAAATTTTTACTGAAATATTATTTTACACAAGACTGGTGAAGTCTCATAACAAGAAGTATGGATGACAATTTGGTGAAATCAATCTTACTGCTGGCTTGACATGGCATGATCATTTTGGCAATATCTTGGAAAACTGAAGAAGTAAAACTATATCTCATCAACCTAACAATTGCACCAATAGAACGTCTATCTGGAGGAATTTACACAGTAAACATAGTCTAAGTAAAACATGGACTATTGCATTCACAGAATGAATGAAACCATACCTGATTTGGGAAATACATACACTGATTTAGTCATTTTAAAGGAATACCTTGCAGTTGTTAAAATAATAAAAGTAGATTTACACTCAAAGAGCAAGAAGGAAATGATAGGAATGAGAATAGCAATATCTTTAATGTTTTATTTTGCTCAAAAATAAAAAAAAGATCTAAAACATGTAACAAGATGTTGATATGAGATGGAAATTTTTATCATAGATATACAAAAGTCAAATCTATTATTTTAAAATATCTCCCAGTATCTTTTTAAAGATAGAGAAAATATAGCTTTAAACCATAAAATACATTGGTGATAGGGATACAAAGAATCTCTGAGGTGCTGGGCATGGTATACACCTATAACCCCAGCACTTGGGAGATAGGCAGGAGGACTCTGAGTTCAAGGCCAGTCTGAGGTACATAGAGAGACCCCATCCCAAGAAAAAAAAACCCATAAAGAAGTGCAGAGAGGAACAAGGCATTCTAAGCCATCTCAGTAATCCTATATGCTACACAGGAAGAAACTGGAGTCCAAAGAGGTTGAACAAATGATTCCAGATCACATAATAAGTGATGAGGTTGGTTCTCAAAGATTTAGATTCCCTAACTTCTAAAACTTAAAGGACAGTCAAGGGACATCTGGTCAAATACAATGTACCTGAGTCAAGTTCAGAAAACAATTCTAATATTTTCCTTATGTCCCACACTCTAACCCTGAGAGTGTCACTCTCCAACTCTCCATTCCCTTCTTTTCTCTCTCTGGGACAGGAAGGGAGTGTTGGGAAAAGGAGAGAGGAGAGTGTTAGAGGGGAAGATGAAAAGCAAGCTTTTAAGAATTGCTATAATGTGCATATGTCCCTACAAAATTCATGCTGAAACCTAATCTCTACTGTGGTGGCATTAAAAGTTCGGACCCTTAGGAGGTGATTTAGTCATGAGGGTAGAACCCTCATAAGAGACTGAAGGGAAGGCTGGAGGTATGGCTCAAGCCACAGAGTGCATACCTAGCAAGCATGAAACTCTCAATTCAAACCTCCGTACCACCAAAAAAAAAAAAAGCTGAAGGGAGATGTCTTGACTCTTTTCCCCATGAGAGGACACGGCATTCTCCCCTTCCGTGTATGGATGCAGCACAATGGTGCCATCTTGGAAGCACAAAGCAGTTCTTTACCAGATACTGACCTTCTGACACCTGATTTTGAATTTCTTAACCTCCAGAACTGTGAGCAATAAATTTCTATTGTTTGAAAGCTAAGGTATTTTATTATAGCAGTATGAATTAACTAAGAAAGGATTTTTAATTCTTCTTTGCTACTCCTTTTCTTTAAAAAAAAAAACTGAAGTATCAGAACAATTATATATAAAATGAATGAAATATAGGTATAGAAATCTAATAAAAAGATAAAGGACCATGAAATATTCAACTTAGTGACCTTAACACTTTGCAAAATAATAAGTATTCAAATACACAATAAACTACTTTTCCATTAGATGGACACAAGATGTCTTTACCAAGCTGAATACTTTCATGGTTAAAGTGTAATTTCTATTTTAAAAAAGAATGCAAGGAAGTAAGGAAAAAATTTTAAAATATTTAATAAGACTAAAGAAAAATACTAGCTCATAGTTTAAACGAGCAAGATAGTTCCCATGTGTAGCAGCCCAACTGTGTAGCTCTATAGTCAAGTTCATGAACTCTAGAGCCAAGTTGTCAAGACTGGAAGCCTGGCTCCACCACCACCCAGCTATGAAGCTTTGGGTAGATTACTTAGGCTCTGTAAGCCTCTACACTACCCATTATAACACTGGGAATACCAATAATGATAAATACCTCATATAGATTCCTTTGAGACAACCCATTCAAAGCACTTCCCACAGTTCAGTAAACATTAACTATTAGTACATGCCATGTAAAAATGTAACTTAACTGTGAAAAGCAACAAATTTTCTGACATAAAAGTTGTATGGTGCTGGGGACTTCAAAGATTACGATGGCTTCTGTCAGCGTCAGTGCTAATGGATCATGTTTTGCAAATCACAGTTTAATTAAATGAAACAAAATGAATGAGCTGAATTTAAAAAAACATTTTCTTTCTCAGGACAAAAGTTTTTTCCTGAAATTTCATTACTCTGAAAGATCAACCTAGAACTATATATCATTTCTCCTCAAGTAAAACATTTAACATCCAGAAGTGATAGTCAAAATATTTAATGCCCATTCAGAACAGGCATACATCAGTGCACAAAACCAGGGTGAGTGAGTGCTCACTGGCAGTACATCCTCTAAGCTTATTCTGAGGGTCAAGAAATACTGTGTGAAATGCAAATGATGACCCTCTTCCATGCTGCTGTTTAAATGTAAACTTGCAACAAACTGGCACATGGGAACTTGGTAAAACAAAAACACATATTCACTGGGCCATGCTACAAATAAAGGGGAGGCTATTTCCATTCCACAAAGCAAGACAGCTCGGCACTCGGCTCCTGGGCTCACCTCCAGGTCACAGGTGTATTCCGTGCCATCCAGCAGGATCACTTTACACTGCATGGTTTTGGTCTTCTTTGTAGCTTTGAGAGAGGCCTTCTCTGCCCTCAGCTCATTGGTCTGCACCTCCTTGGTCTCCCTTTTTGCTACTTCTCCTTCCGACTTGTCACCCTGTATTTCCTTAACTTTCTCCACTTCTCTCTCTTTCCTTACTTCTTCAGCAGGCTGCAAAAGAAAAAAATTAAGTTCATGCAAAAGCTAATCAATTTGGAAGATAACCTATTAAAAGGAAAATCTTTTTTGTTTTTGTTGTTGTATTTTGCTGTGCTAGGGATCAAACCCAGAGAGACTCACACATACTAGGGAAGTGCTATACCACTGAGTCATATCCCTAGCCCCAAGGAAAATCTTTAGGAAGAGCGGTGACAGCTGAGTGTGGTGGTGCACACCTGAGATCCAAACACTGGGAGACTGAGACAGGAAGATCATGACTTCAAGGTCAGCCTGTACTACATAGTACAACTCAGTCAGCTCAGCTAAACAGAGAAACCCTGTATCCAAAAAACAAAAAGAGTTGTGGTCTGTGTATGGTGGTTCATGCCTGTAATCCAAGTAACTCAGAGAATCATAGTTTGAAGACAGCCCAGGAACCCACCCCTCAAAAAAAAAAGAGTCAAACCCCTTCTCAAGAAATAGGCCAAGTTTGGTACTTCGCCCCTGTTATCCCAGCTATGCAGGAGGTATAGGTGGGAAGACCACAGTCGAGGCCAGTCTCGGGTTGAAAGCAAAAAAGGTTAGGAGTTAGGAGTGTGGTTCCAATGTTAAGAGCACTTGCAAAAAACCCTAAGTTCAAACCCTAATACCACCAAAAAAAAAAAAAAAAAAGTTGTGATCATTATTCTAACCACTAGTAGCTTAACATTGAAGACTTGAAAGTTCTGCTAAAAAGTGTATTTCCCTTCATCTCCTTCTATTGCCAATCTTCTCATTTTGCCAAGTTGATTTTGACATTGAATGAATAAAAGAAAACTACATCTCAGCAGCAATAATTTAAGTATCAAATAGAATTTCTGCACACCATGGCAAAACCTAGGCTCCTTTAAACAACCAAAAAGCACACATATCATCTACTATTACTACCCACTTCATACTTCAATAAATCAAAGAAGCATAAAAGGCATCCTATTTAGGAGAACTGGGAGGAGTCCGAGAAATCTTTTTAACCTTAACAGGAACCCACAGGAACTTTTTAATCATTTGCTATAGATATAGACATAGGATTTTCGCTTTTATTTTGGAAATGTTTTTAAAAGCAATGACAGAAGAATTCTGAGGTAGAGAAATTCAAGACCTACATTCCAGATAAATCATGCCAAAGCAGTATCTCAACACAAGAAATCTGGAAATAATCCAGACAGAGCAAGCCACCCCCTTTTCTTATGTGGTTATGTTCTCATTCTCAAGCACACCTGTGTCTCAGCACTGCTCGTGGGAGGTTTTTCTTCCTTGACTTCCACCTTAACCTCCTGGGGTTTCCTCTGAGTGGCTTCCTCAGCATCGCCCTTGGGCTGTCTCTCTTCTTCTGGAAGGGAATCCTCTTTATCGAAGATCTGTTCTTCCACAACTGCTTGGGTAGGCTCTTTTTTATCTCCTCCATCTTTGGCCACTACTAAGTTATAGGACTTCTGTTTCTTAAGCCATGGGGGTATGAATCGTGAAATACCCCTGCTCTCAGATGGATCCTTCTCTCTCTTCCGGTGGCGTGGACTGCTTTGGCTTTCAGCTGCAGGAGATGGCTGGGAAGCTGTTTCCTCCTCTGGCTCAGGTGGCTGATTCTGCCGATCTTCTGCTGCTTCTCTAGTTTTCTCCTTGGTCGCATCTACACCCAAATGGTCAGAGTCCTTCTTTACTTCAGATGCAGAGCCAACTTCAGTAGTCATGGTTACAGCTTATACTGTAACAAAACAAAATCAGAGAATAATGTTTTACAGACTTTTCCAATTTTAGGCTGGTGGCAAGGAGAAGGGAAGGGGAAGGAAGAGTGGGAAAAGGAACAGCAGAGATGACAGGGACAAAACACTCGTTAAGAAGGAAGGCTCATAAGCACAAGAGAAAATGGAGACCACTCTCTAACTTTTAGAATTCTCTGTCAGAGTCACAGAACCAAAGCCAGCATCACAATAGCATTAACTGATTCTCTACAGCTAGAGCTTAAAGGGACCAAGACTCAAGAAGAGCATTACTTTTATCTGGTTTCAACTAGTTATAAATAATAACTAACTCAAACCGACTCTTTAAAGAAAATTTCTTGTCTCTGGTAGACTTACTTGGTATCCTTTATTCTGTATTTTGGAAGTATTACCAACAACATTAGGAAGTAGTGAGACACATTTCATACCTTAAAACAAAAACCTAGAAAAATACTAGACATTATAAAAACAAATCTTAAATAATCAGATGATAATAGCAAAAAAATGAAATCTGGAACAAAAAAATATGTATTTTTTTGGGTTTGAACTCAGTGCCTGTCATTTTTTAGGCATGTGTTTTAGGCTGCCACTTGAACCATGTCTCCAGCTATTCTTTGCTTTAGTTATTTATTTTTCAGATAGGGTCTTATGTTTTTGCTGGAGCCAGCCTCAGACTGCAATCCTCCTACCTATGCCTTCTAGTAGCTGGGATCACAGATATAAGCCACCACACCCAGCTTATTTACTGAGATGGGTCCTGTTAACATTTTGCCTGGGTTGGCCTGGAACTGTGATACTCCTATCTTTTGCTTCCTGAGTAGTTGAGATTACAAGTGTGAGCCACTACACCCAGCTCTGCTTTCCAGTATTAAATCTTGTAACCCACCATTACTGTTCCAGTGTAAAAGTTAGTCTTCAGGGAAAAGAATTCAAATCACCATCAAACTTTCAACTCTTCATCCAATTGCAAATACATTTTTCTTTCTGTGTATTTGAAGGTCCTAATCCCCCCAACCAAATAAAGATACTATGGGGTAAATATATAAAATGATTGATTTTATCACAGCTAATGAAAATAAAATTTAAATTAAACCTAAAAATAACTGGCTGACTAAATTTTACACAAGCAAAGAGGGACTTTTCAAGAAATTTAAATTAAACCTAAAAACAACTGGCTGACTAAATTTTACACAAGCAAAGAGAGACTTTTCAAATGTAACAAACCAAGGGCACAAAGGAGAACAGGCTGGGCCTCCGAGGCAGCAGATCAAATGGGTTCTCTTCTCTCTCCCTAACTGGTGTATTACAGTGCTGGCACCCTGTCCAATGGGTAATGGTGTAACTATCTTCTAAGTGGCACAAACTTGAGTTATGTTTTTTTGGTTTTCTGGGTTTTTTGCTGACCTTGGGTTGAACCCAGGACCTCGTGCATGTAAGGCATGTACTCTACCACAGAGCCATCTCCCTAGCTCCCATGAATATGTTTTAAAAAGAAAAAACTAAAGCACAAATGTTTTAAAGCATATCTGAGATATAATTCACACACTATAAAATTCACCCTTTTAAAGTGCACAATTAGTGCTGTGGAGTACATTCAGAAAATGATCACCACTAATTCAACATTTTCGTCATTCCAAAAAGAAATCCTGAACCCTTTAGTAATCACTCTCCATCCTTCCCTCCCCCATTCCTCTATTTTCAATTTGCCTAATCGGGACATTTCAAATAGATGGAATTACAAAACACATGCCATTTTCACTTAGCATGTTGTCACAGTCTGTCTATGTTATAGCATGTGTCAGTGCTATATCTGTTTCTTTTTTGTGTGGGTTATACTGGGATTTGAACTCAGGGCCTTGCACATGCTAGGTAGTTGCTCTATCACTTAATTCACAGCTCTGTTTCTTGAAATACTACTCATATCTTCTAAAATTCTATATCTAATAAGGGCCTATTAGCTAGAATATATAAAGAACTCATAATTCAACAATAAAAAATACCTAGTTTTAAAATTGGCAAAGGTTTTGAATAGAAACTTTTCCAAAAACAAAACTCAAATGGCTAATAAGCACACAAAAAGATGTTCAACCTTGGGCCAGACCTGGTGGCACATGCCAGCTAAACAGGAGGTACAGATCAGGAAGATCACGGTTCCAGGCCAATCCAGGCAAAAAAAGTTAGTGAGACCCAATCTCAAACAAGCAGGTGTAGTGGCATATTCCTATTTTCCCAGCTACTGGGGGCATAGATGGAAGGACTTTGGTCAGAGGTTGGCCTCAGGCATAAAGTGTGAGACCCTATCTATCTGAAAAATAAAGTAAAAAGGGATGGGACATGACTCAAGTGGTACAGCACCTGACTAGCAAGCAATGGCCCTGACACTTCAACCCCAGTACCACCCAAAAAAAGATGCTCAAGTTTATTAGTCATTAGGGAAATGAAAAGCAAAATCACTGTAAGACTACTTCACACCCACTAGGATAGCTACAAAAAGAGAAGATAGTAACAACTATAAGTAAGGATGTAGATGTTTTAGAATTCACAACCTTGCTTGTAAGAATGTAAAATGCTATGGCTACTTTGGAAAACAATTTGGCAGTTTTCAAAAACTTAAACACAGACTCACCATGTGATCCAGCAATTCCATTGCTAGGTATATATCCAACAGAATGGTCATAACAGCATTATTCATAACAGCAAAAAAGGACAAAAGAAAGTCAACAGCACAAATGCCTACCAACTGATGAATGGTTAAAAAAAGTGTCATGTCCATACAGTAGCCTTATACATGCTCCCACAGGGACAAAGCTTGAGGTTTGGAGGTACAAGAGGTTATTTTTAAAGGCAATGAGAAGTCACACAAGAACCTTAAGTGGAGACACAATGAAATCAGATCCTCATTTCAGATAGCCTTACCCAGCGATGAAATACAGGATGAGAGAAAAAGGTAAACAGAAAGCCATCCAGAAGATTGTTGCAATAATCCAGGTATGGTTCTGTACTAGGGCAGATGCAGTGGGATAAAGGAAAAGAAATGAATCTTGTATAAAAATGTACACTGGAAATGATTTGGGGTCTAGACTGTATATAGAGAGGAAAAGAATCAAGGAAAGGTCCCAGTTGTGTTAAACTGAGGGGATGGTATAACTATCCATGGAAATGGGATATCCAGGAAAAGTGGGTGTGGTCAAGACGTTAACTTGATTCTAAATTCACTGCAATGGAAAAATTGGTGGAGATGTCTAGTTGGCCACTGGACACAATAATACGTTTTGAAGGAGGTTGGACATGCACTAACAATACTACTTAGGAGCTGTGGTCCTATGGATGGACAGCTGCAAGCACTGGAAATACTGGCATCACCTACGGAAACAGTCTCACTTAATCTTAAAGGATCCTGAAGGGCTGACAGAGTGGCTCAAGTAGTAGCATGCCTGCCTACTAAGCCCAAGACTGAGTTCCACCCCCAGTATTGAAGAAAAAAAAAAAAAAAACATGAAAAGAAAAAGAAAAAGAAGAAACCTTAAAGGATCCTAAAAAGAATGCTTATCACAACGGCAATGTAAGGAAATGCAGCGGAGAAGGCATGTGGGCCAGAAGACACATATAATGAACAGGAAAAGCAGGGGAGCAGTAATGTTCTTGAGATTTGTAATGTTATAAAAAAGGGATCTATCATACCCACATGTCCAATGTTACTTTCTATTCTTAGATATTTAAGGTTCAAAATCATGTCTTCCATCAAGAACCAAAGACATTTAAACTGGCTCCACATTGCACAGAAAACTTTTTTTTTCCCACCTTTACTATGTCATTTTCCACATGCTATTTAAGTGGAGATTATTAATTACATTATGAAACAACCAAAGCTGATTTCTGGCATCTCTCTAATTACATTCTGAGAATTGAGTAAGTATCCTGGTAAAATTAAAAGCGTCCCACACTTGTGTAAGCTAACCAAGATAATTGGCAGTTTTCTAATTATTCTGGATATAAAAAACAGCCTAGGGACCAATCAACTAAAGCTGATTTGGAGCCAAATATTTTAGAAGCAATGAAATATAAAACTGAAGTTTCCACTATTATGGTAAAAGCATGAACAGTTGTTTATACTTTAATCATAAGTGCTACCACTAACAGCATACTGTGTCAGACACCATGCATATAATTTTTGTGCCTCAAAACATCCTATAGGATAGATATTATCTCCATTTTGCAAGTAATAAGTAAGTGACTTGTCTAAGACCACTAAACGGACAACCACAGAGCTGTGTACATGCCTTCTCACACATACTTTAGAAAATGCAGTCTAAGTCCCATTAGGCAAGGATGTTGTGATTCATTCCAGAACCCATGGTCTACTCTTCAGAGAACATTCAAGTCAAATTTTTCAAATAAATACAACATTTAAGTATTTTTGTGATTTGCCATAAATAGCTCTACTCCCCCAATATGAAATTTACGAATGAATTTTCACAAGAAAAATGACATTTGAAAGTTATTGCTTGGTTATGTAATCAAAACTAAGCTGAAGGAAGAAGTTGAAGACAAAGTGCTACCGTAGATAAAGAGCACAGATAAGTTACACAGTTGAGCCTCACAAAGTAGCCCTCAGCAGTATATACAACATTAAGTCTTACGAACCACAGAGCTGATGAGTGTTGCACATCCAAATGGAAGTCACAAGATAGAAAACAATGGAAATGGCAAACTGGATTATGAATATGCAACAATAAGGATAAATGTGATGATATATAAATAAGCAAATCTTAAAATAGCTTCAAGAGTTCAACAGAGCTCAAAATCAAACATTCCTTCTTTGTTGATAAGACGGTTTCTTCAACAAATTACCACCATCAAGAGAACATGATTATGGCACATCCATTCACTGTAATTATCATGCCTTCAACTCTCAGCATTTTAGATGTGGATATGCCTATAACTCTACTAGCCAAGAAATGAAAACTACTATGCAGCAGAATGC